GACGTATGCCGGCAGCGCCCTTGCTTCACGGAATGTCCTTCGCATGAATTACATGCGCAGTCTCCAGGCGTTGATGCTCCCTGGCATTTCCTTTACTTGCCACTCCCTGTTCCATTGTGATACGTTTCCTCCAGGGACGCCAGCGGAAGGGACGTCTGAGACCGTGGCGTTGCATTTGGGACTTGGCAAAGAACGAGTGAAAGCTTCGTCTGGCGATCCTGTGGGCGAAGCCGAGCGGACTTGAGACAGCGGCATCGCCCGTCGAAAGGAGCCCCTTTCCCTGGGGTCCCTTTGGGAACCACGTGACGGACGATCAAAAACGGATCTTTCGGGGATGGACAGACCCCCCTTTAGTAAAACATGGTTTAGTGAAAACGACCTGAGGCCCAAACCTGGCTGGCGCAAGCCTGGAAAATAACGGCCACGGCGCGCTCTCGAGAACCGAAAACGGACAATTCACTAATCGACGTGTCACTGTCGGGGGTTCTGTCCACCCCCGAATCTTACGCGATATGACGCAGCGACCTTACGCGACAGCCTACGCGGGCCACCGGCGCGGCACGCCACATATTTGGAGACGAGGGCGCTCGCGCGGGACCTTGCGCGGGCAACCTCCGCGCCAACGTCGGTTCAGACGACTCCTTTTCCTTTGCCTCACTCACATGACACACAAAAACACACACACACACACACACAAAAACACACACACACACGTGGAAAGCACATACACAACAAAAACCCCCACACACACACACACACACACACACGTGTGTGTGTGTTTTCCCCCAACGTGCGCCGTCCTGTCTTGTCTCAGGACGGCCTCCGTGGAACTCCCGACCCTTGCCCCGGGACCGGCTCTCCGTCCCGCGAGTCGTTCCTGGACGGCCCCCCGAGGCCCGACGAGGGCCCCCTTAGCCCCAAAAACCTCCCGCCCTGACCTTCTCGATCCTCCCCCCATTCCTCCTCCTCCGCCCTCTCCTCGATCCTCCTCCTCGATCCTCCTCCTCCTCCTCCTCCTCCTCCTCCTCCTCCTCCTCCTCCTCCTCCTCCTCCTCCTCCTCCCATGACATGACATTTGCCGCCTCGCGGCTCCCGTGTGCTGTCCAGTTGCCTACGCCTGTGCTCTCCCGCTCGCCCGCGCCGGAGGACTTCCTGCCCGGAGCGTGCCTGCTCCGCCGCCCGGGGCCTCCTCTCGCCCCCCCCCCGCATCGCGCCCCTCCCGCTCTTGCTGCGCCCCTGACTGGGCCCCTTGAGTGTTAGGTCGGGCATGTCCCCCTACGGGCGGATATTGAGCAACAAAAACAAATTATACAAACAACAGCAACAACAACGACAACAACAACAACAAACACAAAAACAACAACAACAACAACAACAACAACAACAACAACAACAATCACTTTACCCGAACGCTCAGTGTTCTCACCAGTGCCAGGGTTTTCATGCGACGCCAGCCAATACCCCCACTTTGTGGGGGGGCAGTGCAAGCTCTACCAAATATCCACACGACTCTTCGCCACCACCCACACCCAGCTTCCCGCCCTATGACGTTCGGACACTTCACTTCGTGGCCTGCGGACGACCGTGGCTACTACACTGGCGTGGAGTACACACCCACAGAAGTTGTTAAGCCTACGTTCGTACACCCACAGAAGTTGTTAAGCCTTGTTAACCCACAGAAGTTGTTAAGCCTTCCACAGAACATCTGTTGCATATGATGCATATGGTACATGATACACATGATACACATGATACGTACTCACAAGATAGTTGATCACATCTTTAGGGCAAATTCCTGGGGGATGTGGGAGATTTTTTGGAGATTTCGGCGTGCGCGCGCGAAGAAAAAACGAATGTGTCCCGCATGGTATTATTTGACAGGGATGATGGCCCTGGCAGGTGCGCAACCGTTGTCGCAGAAGTTCGAAAAAGTTGCTCGCAAAAGCCCGTTTGACAGAAATGTTTAAAAAGTGTTGGGTTTCCTACGAATCCGCAAGAGCGCGCGGGATGAGATTTTGACAATTTTTTGTTGAAAAACCATTGGTTTTTTGATGTTTTTATGTTAAAATCGCTGCGAACACTAAGGTTTTGGAAGGATTTCGTCTTGCGCGCGCGAATGTCCACTTTACCTTATTTTTTGCAAGGGATTCTTGAAATTTGATTATATTAGAACAAGAAATGTCATTTTCTATTGTTTTTTGCAAGGGAAAGCGGATTACAACAAAACAACCGGATCCTGTACACACCCTCTTTTCTGAGGCTTCCTCACGAAAATGATGAAAATGTAGCTGCGGCCTAGGCGGCGCAGGGGGGGCGCGCACCAGGGGGCCCAACAATAATTATTCTTTAGAATAAATAATGTTCAACAACAACAACAACAACAACACCAACAACAACAACAACAACAACAACAACCAACCACCAACCACCAACAACCAACAACCAACAACCAACCACCAACCACCAACCACCAACCACCAACCACCAACAACCAACAACCAACAACCAACAATCAACAATCAACAATCAACAACCACACCAACCAACAACCACAACAACACCAACAACACCAACAACACCAACAACACCAACAACGCCAACAACGCCAACCACGCCAACGACAACGACAACAACAACAGCAACAACAACACCAACAGAAATAACAACAACAACAACAACAACAACAACAACAACAACAACAACAACAACAACAGCAACAGCAACAGCAACAGCAACAGCAACAGCAACAGCAACAGCAACAACATCAACAACAGCAACAACAACGACAGCATCAGCAACAATAGCGACAACAACAACAAAAAACGCAAGACTGGTAGAAACATCGTTCCGATATCGTATGTTTGACTATTCTTGTATATTACCCCTGCAGGGGGACATGCCCGACTTAACTTCAGTGCCCCTCGGCTGCCCCGACCGCATCTTGGCTCCCCAGACATGCTCGCGTGGTATTGAAAAAAACCAGCAAATCAGGCCATTTGGCTTTTGGCGATCCTCGGCCCCGGGGGGCCCTCGCCGGGCCTCGGGACCGTCCAAACAGGACTCGGGACGAACACCCCGCCCCGGGGAAAGGGTCGGGACCTCCGGGGACGCCGCCCCGAAAAAGCCAGGACCTCGCAGGCTGTCTGCGCCGGACGAACAGCACACACCCCATACCCACAGGGGGGTCGTTGGGAGGAGGACCGGCTGCTTGGGTATGGGTGCGGGTTGTCGGACCCTGGGGAACGCTCCCGTTCGAGCGGGAGGAGCGAGGAGGAGGAGGGGTAGGAGCGAGGAGGAGCGAGGAGGAGGAGGAGGAGGAGGAGGAGGAGGAGGAGGAGGAGGAGGAAGAGGAAGAGGAGGAGGAGAAGGAGGAGACAACACGCACCCATAGCCCTCTCCAACCCCCCCTTGTGGACATGGGTGTGTGTGTGTTGCTGGTTCGTCCGCCTGGGCCCGAGCCGCCGCGGCCGAGCCCGTGCCCGCGGCGGAGCCCGAGGAGGGCCAGCAGCGTCCAGATGGGGACTGCGATCCTCCCTGCTGTGCGGGGCAGGGATTGGTCCCCAGACAGGATCGCGTCGCGAGGAACAAATCAGGGCCGGATGTTTTTAGCTTTTTTGGGGCCCTGGGGGGCCCACGCCGGGCCTCGGGACCGTCAAAAAACGACTCGGGACGAAAACCCGGTCCCGGGGAAAGGGTCAGGACTTCCGGGGACGTCGTCCTGACAAAAATCAGGACGACACACGTCTGGGTCCGCATCCGCCGCCTGGGAGCCGACGTCCTGGGACCCCTGCTGCGAGCAGCGGATGTGGATACATTTCGGCCCCAGCGGGGGCCGACGATATATATATATATATATATATATATATATATATATAATATATATATATCATCCTATATTTATATCCATGTCTACCACCGGCCGAAGCCCCCGACGAGCGGTGCCGCAGGCGGTGGTTATATGGGAGCACCCTCGCCTCGGATTCTCGGGGCTATGGACCTCGGTGTGCCATGCAAGCGACAAGGCCCTTTTTTACTAGCTCCGCTTGGCCATTTCGGTTGCAGGGTTCCGGCGCCGTTTTTTTTCCCTGGTTCCGTCGACGTTGCTTTTCCCATTCTGGCCCCAGTTCCAATTCCGGAACAACTTTGTATCCCGCTTCAGATCCTGAAACCGACGTCGCGCTCCAGAAACTTTATGTTCAAAACGCACCCAAACCCAAGGTGCAACCTGGGCCCGCGCGAAATCTGGCAGCCCCACCAAGTCAGCGGGGAACCGCGCGGGAGCACTGGCACCGTTTAGGCACACCCGGGGGCCCGCCACCCGCCCAAGAAGCACAACGACGGATTCAGACCCTACCCTACCCCGCGCACCCGACGCAGGACAAACAATGCCCTGCGATGTTGCCGGGGCCCACCCACGGCTGGATGAACGAAGGACCCTTTGTGGCAATATGCAACAGCGGCCACGGGCCCACGGCTAGGCCTGGTGGGCACAGGACAGCAGGAAATGCGGCCGCCACGCCCTCTGAAAAACCGGCACGCCACGATGGGCTGTCTATCTATCTCCGACCCTCTCCTCCTAAGCCCCGAGATGGGCGACGAAAATGCACGGGTCTTACGCGGGATGGCATAGTGACCGAACGTGGCGGATTACGCGAGCCGCCAGTGCGGCACACTGCGTTGGAAACAAGGGCGCTCGCGCGCGACCTTACGCAGGCAGTTTTCGGGCCAAGGGCAGCAAAGACGACCCCGCTTTTGAACGTCTCGCAGATGGCGATGGCGCAGTGGCGCGGCGATGGTGCCACCGGAAGTCACGACAATCTGATCTTTCCCAGGCGCGGCCCCTGCAGGAAGCTCCCGGCCCTTACCTTGGGGACCCCCTCTTGTCCTGGGCCCCGTTCCGGTGGCCCCCGGGACCCGAAAACGGCCCCGTAGGACCTCAGGCACAGGACACAGAGAACATGTTGAAAAATGAAAATCCACCCGAAATCCAAGCGCGAGGCCTCGTTGCCCGCGATGGCGGAGATGAGCACGCTCTCCCACTGCGTGGTGTTGCAGCTGGGCGAAGACTGGCGCGGCGCCGGGCGCTCTTCTGGAGGGCGGAAGAGGGAGGGAAGGCGGGAGGGATGACAGAAGAAGCGATGGAGGACGGAAGTTGAGGGAGGAACGTAGGGAGGTTTGCCCATGGCCTCTCCTGTTTTCCGCTCTATAAGCCCTGGCTGGCGCACCCGTTCTTTCCTGGAAACGGCCGCCGCGGAGCGGGGCAAAGGTCCTGGGTGGATGTCAGCTTGTGATAAACAAAAACGCGGAGGGCGCGCGATTTAAATAGTGGTTCCCCTGCTCGGGCGCATCGCAGGGGGCGCCCGCCGAATTGAAATGCGCGGCAGCGGCGCCGGTGATTAGCTCAGACGCCCGGCCGACTGCAGGAGGGCGACAGGCGCGACGCAAGCGGCGCCGCTTCAGCGGAGGGGACAGCAGCGCCTCCGATAAAGCGGGGCGGTTGGACCAAAATGGCTACAAACAGGAGAGAAAGAGGCGGCGGGGGAAAGAGGCGCCTCCGCGGGCGGGCGGTGCCGCCATGGCCACAAACAACACAAGGAAGAGAGGGGGAGAAACAGGCGAGGAAGCGACGACGACGACGACGACGACGACGACGACGACGACGACGACGACGACGACGACGACGACATCGACGACGACGACGACGACGACGACGACGACGACCGACGCAGGCGATGACCGACAACATCGACGACAACGGCGACGACGATCGACGACGACGAGAATGCGAACGACAAGGAGAAGGACGAGGAGGAGGACGACGGCGACGACGACGCACTGCGGATGCCCTTTGGGGTGTGTGGGGGGGTGTTGCGTAGGCCTGCCGTAATGCTGTAGCCGACGGCGACGGAAGACGACGGGAAACGGACGACGACGTCGACGACGACGACGACGTCGACGACGACGACGACGGCGGCGACGACGCCGACCGCCGACAACGACGACAACGACGACGACGACGACCGACCAACCGACCGACCGACCGACCGGCTGGCCGACGACGACAATGACGGCGACGGCGACGACGACGACGACGACGACGACGACGACGACGACGACGACGACAACGCGCCGACGACGGCGGCGACGACGACGCACTGCGAATGCCCTATGGCCAGGGGGGGTTGCTGCGTAGGCCTGTTGGCTGAACGACGACGACGACGACGGCGACGGCGACGACAACGACGAAAAGGACGAGAACGAGGACCAGGACCAGGACGAGGACGAGAACGACGAGGGACAACAACGACGATGACGACGACGGCGCACATCGGATGCCATTCGAGGGGGCTGCTCAGGCCCGTGATCGTCGACGACGGCGGCGACGTCGACGCACTGCGAATGCCCCATGGGGTGGGGGGGTGCTGCGCAGGCCCTAGAACAAACCCTAGAACCCTAGAACACCTTCTACACGAACAGGCAATCGTTTTGAGGCTGCCGTGCAGGGGGCACACGATCCCCTCGACGGCGCCGGCGACGACCCCCCTGGCGCGCGCGATGAAACAAATTGTTTCGCGCCCCGCGGGGTCCATTCATCAGCGCCTGGGCGGGGAAGGGGGGGCTCATTTGTTAATCACAAGCTGACATTCGAGGGGTTGCGCGCTTGCTCCCACTCAGAGTGCGCGGGCGGACGTTTTCGCAGCGAATGGGAGGGAGGGAGGGAGGGAGGGAGGGAGGGAGGGATTTATCGGTATCGGGTATCGGTCACGAGAGGTAGCTGCCAGCGACATCGCCGAACAATACATCTGGCTGCAGTGTGGGTGAATGCGACAGCGGGTCTCGCTCGGTGGCAGGGGGGCCGACCGAAGAGGGGCACCGAGGGTGGGGCCGAGACCGAGGGCAGCACGATGTCGCTGACACTGGCATATCCCGATTCATCTGAAGTCGCAGGCGGACCTCAGACAGAAGCTCCAGAACAGGAGGAGGAGGAGGAGGAGGAGGAGGAGGAAGAGGAGGAGGAGGAGGGAGGAGAGGAGGAGGAGGAGGAGGAGGAGGAGGAGGGGGGAGGGGGAGGAGGGGAGGAGGAGGAGGAGAAGGAGGAGGAGGAGGAAAAGGAGGGAGGAGGAGGAGGAGGAGGAGGAGGAGGAGGGCGAAGGCGAGGAAAGAAGGCGGGTGGGACAAATGAGGAGGTAATAGCATCATGAAGCGACTCCCTGGTGGCTGGGTACAGATACTGTTCAAGGATCCCCGGCAGAGAAATCAAGTTGGAAACGCCATGGTTGACAAAATGTTGGACTAGCCCTTAGTGGGCCTCGGTAACGACAAAACCGTTTCTGTTACGTGTTCCGTTTTGCCGTTCTCATGCTGGTTCGGCGCCGTTTGTTTCCCGCTACCGTCGCCGTTGGTTTGCCGGTTCTGGGTCCAATTCCAATTCTGGAGCCGTTTTGTGTCATGTTCGGTTGCCGTGTCTTTTGTTTACCGTGTCCATGTTCAAGAGACACTTTTTCGGAAACGGTGAAAAACGTCCCTGCCGTTTCCGGGGCCCACTAATGTCTAGCCATTTAGCCCCCCCCCCCTCCACTCGCAGGAAACGGGAAACCTTCGGGGATGGCACGACTTCTTCCAGTAAGCAGCGCCATGGAGAGGAGGGAGAGAAGGGGGGAGAGAGGAGAAAGGAGGTGGAAGAGGAGGGAAACGGAGGCGGAAGGAGGAGGGACTCTGACACACTGAGAATGACTGATGCCTGCCGTGCTAGACTCATCAATGAAAAGACTGCTGAGACCTTGCTCATCAGCAGGAGTCACAGTGGTCATCCAGAGCGTGACACAGGGCAACAAGTAGAACGACCGCGAACGCACAAACCAAAGCCTAACGGCCACAAAGAAGCTCAACCGCAACCTGAATAAATTGACAGACAACAATTTACCCTGGCGACGTACCCAACCCCTGCGCAATGCGGGGCATGAGTAGCATGGGAGACGTTATACAGAGGTGATGAAGTGACATGGGTGCATATACTTCTGCGAGCGGTATTCGTGAGGCTCGCAGCCGCCCAGGGATTGCGAAGTCCCGCTCAGATATGCGTGGTGCCTCACTCCGCTGGACCCGCCACCAGTCTTCGAAAATGGCGACAGTTTAGCAGATCGCAGCCCCCCAGGGACGGCGAGGTCCCGCTCAGATCTGCGCGGTGCCTCATTCCGCTGGACCCGCCAGCAGCCCTCGAAAGTGGCGACAACTTCGCAAAAATCGCAGCCCCCCAGGGATGGCGAGGTCTAATTTGCATCTGCGGCGGCTACCCACTCCACTCCCACAATGCTGCCCCCCCCCCCCCCCAAGCAGCCGTCCAAAGTGGCGACGGTTTCGCAGATCGCAGCCCCCCCAGGGATGGCGAGGTCTACTTTGGGTCTGCGGCGGCTACCCACTATGCTGCCCCCCCAAGCAGCCGTCGAGAGTGGCGACAGTTTTGCAAATCGCAGCCCCCCAGGGATGGCGAGGTCTACTTTGGCTCTGCAGCGGCTACCCACTATGCTGTCCCCCAAGCAGCCGTCGAAAGTGACGATATTTTCACACATGGCAGCCTCCCAGGGATGGCGAGGTCTAATTGCATCTGCGGCGGCTACCCACTCCACTCCCACAATGCTGCCCCCCCCCCCCCCCAAGCAGCCGTCCAAAGTGGCGACGGTTTCGCAGATCGCAGCCCCCCCGGGGATGGCGAGGTCTACTTCGGGTCCGCGACGGCTACCCACTATGCTGCCCCCCCAAGCAGCCGTGGAGAGTGGCGACAGTTTTGCAAATCGCAGCCCCCCAGGGATGGCGAGGTCTACTCTGGGTCTGCGGCGGCTACCCACGATGCTGTCCCCCCGAACAGCCCTCGAAAGTGATGACAACTTCGCAGATCGCAGGAGAAAGGTACGGCAGGCAACATGCACACACACACACAAGCGGCAATTACGCACAAGGCAGGAGGAGACAAGAAGGAATGGGGGCAGGAGGCGGGAGGCGGGAGGAGAAGGAGAAATGGAGACCGCAGTGCTCTACTCAGAGCGAATACCCGGCCAAGGAGGCCCGGGAACAACCAAGTGGGGCACCGCGTGCTCGCGGACACACCCGACCCTGCACGAGGAGCCATAGCCCGTCGGAGCCCACGAAAAGCAACGGAATAAACTCAGAGCGGCGCCGCAGGGCGACGCACGCTGCACCACGCACGAGGAGGCCGATGGCAAAGCGAGCGCGCCTGCTGAGACACCATGGGCTGTGCGTGGCCTCCGCTCCCGCCCCCAACATCCCCCGAACGTGCCACACGAGCAGGAGAAACGCGCGAGAACGAACCACAAGCCGCCCGACAGGGAGCCGGAGTGAAGAGGAGGCGGAGGGGGAGGGGGGAGGGGGCAGGAGGCGCGGCGGCGGGCTCAGCGGGGGCACGGGTCAGGGTTCGGCCGATGCCGAAACATTCCGACACAGGCCCAAGCACCTCGAGTGCGCTCCATAGCGGTGCATGGCACCTTGGGGGGCTCACGCGTTCCTCAGCCAACAGAGCGGACATGTCCCTGTGGCCAGAAGCGGCAGACCTCGACAAAACTGTGGGGCTACCATCACAGGCAGGCGGGTAAACCCGTCGAGGAGAGAATGCGTTCGGCCCTGGCGTGCTTGCCCCAGCAGGCAACGACAGGGAGTGGCACGCCAGTGGCCACCGGCACCCCTTGTCTTGCGGTGCCACTATCGCCCTTCATCCCCTTGCACTCTGCCGCAGTTTCCCTCTTGGCTTCTCGCTTCTGGGCCCGCTCCTCCTTCTCCTCTGCTCCCCCATCTTCCCCGCTCTTGGCATGCGTAGGATCCTCTCTGCGCCCCTCGCGCTTGCACCTTCTGTGTGCTAATGCTGGCAAAGGGAGTCAGCCTCGTTGGCGCACAGGCCAGTGATGACGATGCGGTCGTCGACGCTGAAACCATCGGCCGAACTGATGTGGACCGTCGTGGCCCCAGCCTGGAGGAGAGGCCATGACGCCCGTCTCCTCCTCTTCCTCCTCCTCCTCCTCGTCATCGAATTGATCCTCCTCTCGTTCGCCTCCCCCTCCGAATCCCCCTCCGAATCGTGTTTGGATGCCCACCCCTTGTCACCATGTAGTTCGGCCCCCCCTCGTTTTCGAAGGAGGCCCAAACAGCAGCGGGCTTCCACCGTCTACGCAGCGCTGCCCCGGCGCGACTGCCTGGGTCGCCCGTGCTCCTCTCTACCGATGCGCCGCCTAGGCGCCATCCTTGCTTGCTTGCTTGCTTGCTTGCTTGCTTGCTTGCTTGCTTGCATGTTTTCGCATGGATGGTGGTCGTAGTGCTAGGTCAGGCATGTCCTCCTACGGGCGGATTTTGAAGGAAAACTTAAAAACATACAAAATACCAAATCAAAAAATACGAATCATCGCTCCCAGACTACATGTTGACCATTCTCGAATATGCCTCCTGTAGAGGGACATGCCCGACTTCATCGTAGTGAGGAAGCCAGAAAGTACCGACACGGCTACTCCCCGGACCTCTCCCGGGCCTCCGAGGAGGCCCAAGAAGGGGCCGAACGAGGGAAGGGTAGCGATTTGTGTAATTTGAAGGGGCCCCAGGACACACAAATAAATACACACAAATAAACAGATTCCCCATATTTTCACATATTTTCTGGGTTTTTGTCTTCCCCCCCAATCACCATATTTTCATATATTTTCCTGGGAGTCGACGATTAATTGTGTCTGCGTGTTTTTTTCCCTCCTGATAATTCCCTCTCCTCCTCCGAGTTTTCGCATGCACGGCGGCCGCGGGCGGGAAGCGCCCCGTCGCCCATCGCACGTCCGTGCGACGACGACGGCCCCCCCCCCAGCATGGACGCTCGGCGGCGGGGGTGCGACGCGGCGCACCCCCCGCGAGCGATCCGAGAAAGGCGTGGCGCTGCCCCGGCATCGGCGCGCGTCGCGCGGCTCTTCTCCTGAGACTCTCGGGCCAGGCGAAAGGGGGGGATAGCAAAGGGGGGGGGGGGAATCAGCCCACGTAGCTGATGTTTCCCCGCGCCTCTCGGCGCCGGGAGGCGCCCATGTATCGAGGAATGGGCCCCTTGGTGGGGCTGGAACCAGCTGCACGCAGCAGATTTCGTACCCCCCCTTTTCCTATCCCCCCCCTTTCGTTCGGCCCGAGACTCCGCACGCCACCCCTGGCGAGCGGCGCGCGCCCTCCCCGAGGGCGCCACGCCGTCCGCGGCGGGGCCGCGCGCGGGGGAGAGGCTCTACTGCTCGATGGCCCTCGGAGCGCATGGCAGCGACAGCGTGTGCTTTTGCACCGAGGCCCTTCAGTACAGTCGGGGCCTTGACCTAAGGAACCTAAAATAAGGAACGAGGCCCTTTTTTCCATAAGTTAACCTTCGATCTCCTGTCGAAAACACAAGGAAAGCCTGAGGCAAGCTGTGAAACACTTGAGGAACGCGGAGCCCCTCCCCAACGAAACGCGTTCCTTCTTCAAGGCCCCGACGGTACGACTTAGTCGGCGCAACGGGGGCCGACACAGGCTGCGCGCTGTCGGCGGAACCGAGCGGGGTAAACACACGCTTGGGCGAAGACGCGTCCAACGGCGAGGGCATTGAAGAAGGAACCACAGGATAAGGAAGCCAGGGTCTGGAAGCCAATGGAACTCCCATCGTGGATCGGCCATGGACATCACCGTCGCCCTCATTGGATACGGAATCCTCAAGGGTCTGGCGCTTCCTGGGACTATTCCTTAACAAACGCCTCCACCGTATGGATCATCGAACTGTTGAGTTCCCCTCCGGCGCCGCGCAACAAGACGAGGCCAGAACAGGGGCAACATCGGACTGGGACAGATCGGGGACCTCCGAGATCCCGCAGCTCCGCAGCATGCGCCGGGCGCCGCGGCCGCTCCGGAGCGCTTCGGAGCGCTCGGACAGAGTTTTGGAACAACACTCTGGACGATGTTGATCCTGGTCCTAGCCCCGCCCGGTACTGACTACCTACCAGACCACCCCAACCCAACCCGAAGACCCGAATTTCGGATTGGAGGGTGGTGAGGTACGGGGTCTCCGGAAGTCCCGATCCATTCCCCGGGACCGGTTTTTTATCCCAGGTCGTTCTGTGACGGTCCCAGGGCCTGGCCAGGGCCCCCAGGAGGGGCCGGAAGCCGCCGCCAAGCTCCGCTCGGGCTTTTGTTTTCGGCGCGAGCATGCCTGGAACGATTTCACGCGGCCCAAGTTTGCATCCATGTCCACTGCGGCCGAGAGCGTCGGGCTCCCATCCCCGGAAAGCCGAGGCGCACTGGATGTATAGAAAGTGTCCCCAGGAGGCGAGATCGTGACCCACCTCCACGGCGCCTCGGCATTCGGGAGCCCCTTCCCAGAAAGTCCCCAAAATGCAGTGGGTACGGGAAACAATCCTGCCCGCCGCTTATCTCGGCCCTACCCCCGCCAGACCCAGGCGGTTCGGAATTCCGCTCCCGCTCTCGCGGCGCTGGCCGATCTGGCCGGGAGCCGGGCCGTGCGCCCAGGGAGGGCGGACGTGATGCTCCCGCGCGAAGAGTCCAACTTCTCCTCCCTGAAGGCCGAGTTCCCGCCCCTCCCTCCTCCTCCTCCTCCTCCTCCTCCTCCTCCTCCTCCTCCTCCTCCTCCTCCTCCCCTCCTCCTCCTTTTCCTCCTCCTCCTCCTCCTCCTCCTCCTCCTCCTCCTCCTCCTTGTCCTCCTTCTCCTCCTCCTCCTCCTCCCTCCTCGTCCTCCTCCTGCTCACTCCCCCTCCTCCCCCCTCTTCCTCCTCCCCCTCCTCCCCCTCCTCCCCCTCCTCCCCCTCCTCGTCCTGCCCCTCCTTCCCCCCCCCTTCCTCCTCCTCCTCCTCCTCCTCCTTCTCCTCCTCTTCTGATCCCCTGGTCGTCTAATCCTACGAAAGAAGAGCCCAGCCGAGCCGAACTCTCCAGCCTGTTTGCAAGCAGAAACAGCCCCGAAACATACATCCTCAGCCTCGGGACCCGACGGATTTCCGCCCTCTCCGAGCCTCAAGTTGGACCCACGGCCAACCTCAGCACGAAAAAGCGGGGATGGGAGCCCCCAACAACGGGGCCCCCGACCAGACAACCACCTCCCCAGGGCCTGTCGAGCCAGACGGGCCGACGAGCGGGACCCCAGAAGAGAAGGCATGGCAGGCTCGGCTGAGCCCATGCACCTGTCGGCGCGCATCACCCGATCCCCGATCGGGTGATCCCCCGACCCCCCTCGAAAGCCCAATCGGAACCACCCCACAACCGATCGCCACGCGCAGCCCACAGCTTGTGGGAGGTATGGGCGATCGCAGCTGGCCAAGGCATCCCAGGGCAGGGAGAGGAGACGATTCTGAATCGGAGCCCCCCTCGGATCCCGCGCAGACTACATCCCCAGGCCCGCCCCAACTTCAGGACCGAGTGCACGCTCACGCCCGAAAAACGAGGACAACCCGAACTCTGACGGGCGGGCCGAGGGTGGGGGCAGGGCTCCGATCTGGCCGCCCTTCCGCGGCCCATCTTTTCAGGCCAGCGCCATGATGAGCGCCCATGATGAGCGCCCACCACCACTGCGGCACCCGTGGCCTCCACGAGCTGGGCCGCCCTCGTCGCCACCAGCTCGAAGTGCGGGTGGAGCTCGGCGCCGTCCTTTTCGGCCTGGCGCGCCGGCGAGCCCGTCGCCTCGGTGCCGGTGCCAGGGCGTCCTCTTTCGGCCTCGGTCGCTGCCCAGCTGGTGTGCGGGCACGAGCCCAGCGGAGGCGGAACGCCTCGCGGCCCAGGCCCTGGACGTGAGCCCAGACCTCCCTCCGCAAGTCCGCGCAGAGCGAAACGGCGGCAGCGTGGCCCTCCACCAGCCTCAGGCCGTCGGTCACCAGATGCGCCTGCGGGCCCTCCTCCTGCAGGCACCCTCCTCGGCGCGCAGGAGCTCCGCGTAGCCACTCTCCTGCGCAAGGCCTGGGATACTTCCGTCCATGCCCCCTCTCTGCGTCCCGTCAGCGCCCATGAGGATGACGGCCCAGCCACTCCTCGTGAGCTCCCTCCACTCTGGGAACAAAGCCGAGCCGTCGATGCAGGCGTTGCCGCTGGCCTCTTCCCAGCGCAGCGAGCCTCCTCGTCGGCACTCCTCGTGCTGGGCGGGCCGAGGGGTCTCGTGCAGCCCAGGACGGGTCAAGCACCTGACCATGCCGATGGCCTCGCCACCTGCTCGGCATCCCCTCTCAGGCGAAGCGCGGCCAGGGCAGCCCTCGCTGGGTAGAGCGTCGGCGGCCCCCTGAGCACCCCCCAGGTGTTGCTCCAGCAGCCTCCTCATGAGCAAACGGTGCACACCTGCCTCAATGAGCTGACGGACCCATCCGGGGCTGAAGGACTGGATGTCGATCAGGTCACCCTCGTCCGTCTTCCAAGCCCTCAGCCGACCAGCCGATCCTCCTGAGGGTGAGCTTGACCGCGTCAGCAGGGCTCTCACCTAACCCTAACGTCTGCCCCTCCTCCTCCTGCTGCATCCTCCTCATCCTCCTCCTCCTCCTCCTCCTCCTCCTCCTCCTCCT